GGGCCGTTGCAGAGGGGCGGTGTGAGATCCGGTGCTGCTGTCTCTAGGTTGGATCGCCCGACCCAGGCCAGCACGCTGGTTCACCGGATCTTTGGCGGTTACCTGCGGTCCCGAGGTGAGTGCTGGCTGCCAGGCCCTGGGCCTGTGACTCTCGGTGCTGCTGTTTCCCTCAGAGCCTTGACGTAAAAATCTTTTGGGAAAATTGCTAAGTGTGTGTAAATGATCCAGAGCTGCAGCTGATCAGTCTTGTGGTACCTGTGGGTCGTGAGCCCTGTTGTGGCAATGGAAGATGCTGTTGGCTGTGGGTCCCCAGCTCATTGCTACCAGCAAAGGAACCCGTGTCGGCAACTGTCTAGCAGCACTTCTTGTCACAGCACACAGGGGAATTGCCAGCGCCCCTCCTTGCCAGGCTGTGAATCCTGGTGCTGCCATGCCAGAGCCAAACGCAGAGAGGAGGGAACGCTGCAGCTTTCTGCGCTGTGCTGGGGTGGTGGCGGGTGCGGGTGTTGTGCCAGGGTGTGCTCCTTGCTCTTTCTTTTCCAGTGAAGTGCTTGGTGTGCAAGAGTGTCTTGGACACCTATGACCCTTACCTGGACCTGGCACTGGAGATCCAGGTACTGCGGCAGGGCCGGGGATGGGGAGGAGCTCTGCGCTTGTGGGGGACGTTCCTGCAGCTGCACCGTTGCTGCTCTCACGGCTCCTTAACCTGGCACTGTCAAGGCACCTTGCAGGCGAGAGGGAAGCAGCTTCCCTTGTTGCGCTGCCATTGACTGCGCCTGGTGGTGGGGCTCCATGGTGGTGGGGGCAGTGCAACTGTCCCTCGCGGCATGCTGGTCAGCGCCTCGCTGGTGGCGGGTGCACGGGTTTGGTGTCGTCTGTGTCCCTGTGCTCGTGCTCTGTGCAATCTCTCGGGGCCAGTGTCTGGGCAGGGAGCCGGGCTGTGGCGTGGATGGGCCGCTTGTGCCCTGACCTCTCTTCTGTCCTTGCAGCAAGCCACAAGCATAGTGCAGGCGCTGGAGCTGTTTGTGAAGGCAGACCTGCTGGTCAGGGAGAACGCCTACACGTGTGCCACGTGAGTGTGTGGGGCTGTGGGCGGGAGGGGTCCAGGCTGTGCTGGTGGGAAGCAGGTGGAA